CGAACCCTAAACCTAACACTAACCCCTAACCCTTACCCTAACCCTAACCCTTTCCTTCACCCTAACCCTTTTCTCCACCCTAACCCCTACCCTAACTCTAATAAGTACCCTAATCCTCACCCCTAACCCTTACCCTAACCCTAACACTAACCCCTAACCCTACCCCTTACCCCAACCCTTACCCTAACCCTAACCATAACCCTGATCCTAACCCTTAACCCGAATCGAGCTCGAATCGCTGTCGACAAAGCTGGAAATGTGGGGTTTTATGCCGCCACTACCGAGGAAACTCTTGCCATTACATGTTTTTGTACTCGCATGCATTCGAACACAACCTATGCCGGTTTGACGACTAACGTTTGCTATACCTTCTTCATTTCAGTTGTCATAATAGGAATTCTAACACTGGTTACTTATGTTGTGTTCATGCCAGTTGCACACATTTACACAAGCGATAAGTAAGTACTCTTTCCTTTAGTGTCTGTGTAAACATCATAGGCTAAATGTGCTTGTCTAAAATACCATGGGCTGAAATGTTTTTGGGAGAATTTTGCATGTATTATACTCTTGAACTTGTAAAGATAACTGCTGAATCAAACCAGCACAAGAACATCTGGATAAAACTGTTACAATAAAACTTTCTTAGCTTACATATATTAATTGCATCCCGAATAGTAGTAACAATCTAACAAAATACGTATACCTAACCGAAAAAGGGGCGCCGCAAACGTGATGGCAAATATTCTGTATTTGAGTCTTGATGTTAAAAAAACGAATGCTTGATACATTTTTCAAGTGAAGAAAGGGTAAGGTATCCAGCAGGACATCAATTGACTGCAGTAAGTAGAAAAAGATATGGTCAGCGGCCAGCATCATGAGCAGAATGTTAGGACAAACCACATCACTGACATTAAGTGAATACTCTGATAATGTTTTCTGAATCGTTGACAATTAAGTGTAACCAAAGTAAGTAGTCTAGAATTACAACTGAACAGTGCCCTGATGACCAAAGTTAGTTCGGGCCCACGTTTCTCACTCATTTGATCGTTCTTCATCACCTGACCGGCAACACCTAGGATTCAAAGCCGCACCCTTTGATCGTTGGCTAAAAAGTCCTCTTGGAGGGCAATGGGTCCCGTTTTTTTCCGTATGATTACACTCAGGATAAACGAATTCAATGAATGGTTAAGGATGGACAGACATGAGTTGTGAGAAGAAATGATTCCAACTAACAAATTGTTCCTCTCTCGACCTGGGAGATCATATGCTCCGACTCAGTTTGAGTCGCTGTCGCTGTTCATATGCACAGCTCGGACATCCTTTAACCGGTACTCAAATAGAAGAACTACTGTTGATTGCCAGTGAAGGTGTATCGTTAATAATCTTGACCAAAGTTTGAGTTACATATTATCTTCACAACAAGAAATCCGAAACCCTTTTCCTTATCGTACACGGGTTTTGACTTTATAGTGCATTTCCTACCACTTGTCTAGACCACAAAAATGTTCTGAGGCTGATCGGCACACTCAAGGCTTTTATGTCTGCGTCCATGCCGCAGACACCTGAACTGAGATACGTGCGTAGTACTCTGGTTGACTCAAAGTAACAAAAGGCGGTTAATGGGCGCTCACAGCTCGGTTACGGTATTTATTTGCGCCGTTGCCTTGAGGCTGAGGCACGAAGCCGTCAGCAGCCTTCAGGTGGCTACTGTTACACGCAAAGGGAAGTTGTAAATGAAGACAAGGAACAGGGGGAAGCCCAATGTCGGGTTTTTAGCCGTCATTTGGCAGCCATGCCAAATTGCAGACGTTGCCAGTTCTAAAACTTGAACTCGTAACCGCTTGGTTAGAAGTCTCACGCTATATCCATTGTCCTAAAGGTTTGGATGAGGAATTCTAATAGTCGAGGATGGGTGCTTATTGATCAATAATGAGACTCACTCATGCCGCATGGTCTTAGTGATCGCTCTCAAGCATCGCTGTAGAATATTGTCTAAAATAGCAGACGAAAAAGCAGTTATTCCGACGATACGGTGTCTCTCATCTCAATGATTACTTTCTGCATTCATTTTTTTTGAGAATGTCGCTCTTTTTTGTGCCCTCGGGTGATGTTTAGTTAGCAAATGCACCACCTATGAGTTAGCAGCTATCAATAATTCGCTATTAATTGTAGATAAAAAAAGTTTTATTGATATGCATTGTTGTCACTTGTATATGCAAATCAAACCTGTTTCCGTTTGAGTTCTTCCCCGTTGGACACTACAAACATTAATTTGATGGACACTTAGGTAGTATTTAAGCGAAACAGATTCTCATACAGTCAGAAATCGTTAATTTCAGCACAGGGTGGTCTTATATTCGTAGGAATTTCTCCTGAGAATTATATTTCAGCTGCGTCAGGATATGAGATGTATTGGCCCTTACCTTTTTGTGCTAAACTCCTGTTGTGTAGCAGAAAGTTTTAAAATTAATAACAAGGGTTTTGTGAAACGTTTGGTTTTCCTTTGCAACAACAGTTTTGGCCTCGGATCCCCATATTCCTGGTATAAATACTATACGATTGTCCGATACATCTAAGGCCCATTCTTTTCCCGAAAACATCTTGCTTGAAAACGAAAAATAGTATAAATAAATATGCACTAAATTTTAAAACAAAGCAGTAAAGAGAGGGTTTTTTAAAGCTCAAATTATTTCTTTTTATGAGTATTTGAATACAAGCGTTGTTTAGGCTGTAAGTTTATTTATTTCAGGGATATACTTGACGCATTGGGTCCAGCACTGCCTTACGTCATAGCGGTTATACCCCTGGATGGGTATGCGGTGAGTCCTATATATATTTCTGAATTCATATATGAAGATATAATTAGATTAATACGGTTTCGAAAGAAAATGTTTTCGAAAAATAGAGATCACGTCGTTATCCAAGTGGATCAAATGAAAATATATAGAGACAGATCAAAAGTGAACTTGAAAACGCAAGCTTTTCTCGCATTTCTACAAGCCAACCGGCAAAAGAGTACGCAAAAGTTTACCTAAAAATTAAAAAAATTCGCCTGCAAGTGCTGATAGGCAGGCTGAATCGTTTTTATAGCCTTCTGTAGTTTTAAAATGATGACAATGATGATGATGATGATGATGATGATGATGTTTCAAATGTAGGGCGTAATAGCGTTGCCACAGGCTTTTAAATTGAGAACACATGGCACAGTTAATATTTCGCTGCCCCTTCTTTTCTATCAGGGCCACATCGGCGGTCTCCTACGTGGCTGTGGTTTGCAAGCCCGAGGAGCAGTCAGCGTAGTAGTCGGCTTCTATGCAATCGGTGTCCCTCTCCTTTTTATTCTCGGCTTTATGCTCCATATGGGTATTGTTGGTAAGTCCTGGCATAAAATCATTTTTCCATGGCAGGTTTCTGGCTCGGTTTGGATATTGCAATTGCATTCGTCTGCGTGCTATTTTTCATAATGAGCAACTGTCTGAATTGGAGCGTTAAAGCTGATAAGGTAAGTGGTTTAATTTCATCAATTGTTAACTTCGAATAAAACTACATTATCCATCTGCAGGTTCAAGCTGTCATGGGAAATGCAGGTGACTCTGTCATATTTGACAGGAGCTCTTACATAAATCCCGAAACGACACGTAACTTGGCCATTAAGCTGTTTTATGAGGCAAACATCTTTTAGCGCTGCTTCCAAGGTGTCAGCTCAGTCAAGCACCCCAAAACATCTCCGTGATATCAGAAAATTCGGAGGGCAGTGTGGTGCATTCCATCATGGCGGACAACGAGAGAAGCATTTATGCCTATACTACCGCTACTAACGTTCTTCTGCGCTCATCGTTTATACCAATGCATGGACCAACACCAGTGGCTTTGCCTTTACCACTAAGGTAAGCTACTGCGCTGGATAAACCATGCTTAGATGTATTTTGTCGATTGATATGCAACAAAAGTGCAAAATATTTATTTTAATATACTGGCAGGGTATGCATTGTAAATAGATATTAATACTGGACTTCAGATAACACAGCTCACTCAGCTACAACGGCTGCATAACCTCGATCCAATTTAATCGAAATTATAAAATGTGTTTTTATTAAGAAAATTATATTTTAGTGACATGCTTATATTAGTTATCCTGCAGCATAATAGGCAGCTATTCCAGTCACCAGAGATTGCCAGGTTCTTAACGAGCAATTGTCAGGCCGTCTGCAAGTAGCTCACTCTACAACAAGAAACTCCGCAATAATTATGCATTTTCCCCAATTGCCATTTGGTGCCTTTAAAATTTAAAATATATCCTACGGCCCACATACACGAAAATATTTGTCTTGCACTATTTGGTGCCAAATCATTTCTCAAATTACATACTTAAGGCAGCCGTAAATTTGACTTTAAAGCAGCTAATAATTGTTAGACTGCTTATGATCGTAAACTGATAATTCATCAAGCATCGTACCTGTGTATCCATGAGTTCGACCTGTGAAGCATAAAATATGGTGCAAACCCTTCGCAAAATGTCAAACCCACTATACGGTCTATTTAAAGTGGTAGCTTTTTGGTCTGTCTACATTGACGAAGTTAACCAAATTCATTGTTCTTTTCTGTTAATATTTATCTTATTTTTGATTATAATTAAGAAATTTATGAGCTTTTACAATTGCTTCGGGGAGATAAGTCCTGGACAAAGGCAGCCGCAGTTAATCTATACTACCATGTACTCACCGTTTCCTTCCCCAACGCATACAAAAAATGAATATCAAAGATCATTCTGCCCTTGTAAAACTGGAATAAAAGCAGCAATTTTTTCTCGATATTGAGCAAATCTCTGTCGAATAGTATCAGTATCAGTGTCAATGTTAGTATATATGGGGGAAATATAGGTGTGTCCCTTTTAATTCCCCTTTTGTGCATGCTTATTGTGATATTAAAAAGTAGTATCTCAGATTATTGGCGACACCAAGCGACATGAGCTAATGGTGGTAGAACAAAGGGCGAAAAAGAGCAGACAGTCAAAACATCCCCTTCGGATTTTTGGGAGTAAAACTATCACTCTTCTAGGGAGAGCGAAACGAGGAAGGGACCGAATAAGTCCCGGGATCATTTCCAAAGTGCCAAGATGCGGGCAGAAAATGCTTTGCTAATTGAAGAGTCCGCCGACAAGACGGCGAAAACAGAAAGATCCGTCAAGACCCTCTGTATTCCTGCTGTGGGTCCAACCAGGGAAAACGTTAACAGGCCGCGTGGACAATGTTCACAATGTTCGGCAGACGGTTTTCATTTAGTTAAGCAGGGAAGACCGCGAAAACCTTTACACGAGGATGATAACAAGACATCGTAAGCGATGGATTGTGCATAAAAAAATAACGTATTACACAAATGCTAGTAAACTGTAAAAAGTAGTATAATAGTATAAGCTTTTCACTAACGTTGCTGTCTTTCGGTCTGGAGGTATTTTAGGTTGCCCCTGCAGTTATGCGACAAAAAATATCTTACTAGAATATAGCATTTAGTATATTGATTGTAATTCTACAGGCGTCTGGATGACAGTTGTCAGCCAGTAGTGTAGCTCGCACGATTATATTGGTTCAGCCTACGATTAAAAACGTCCAAGGATGTCGATATAACGACCACCAGAGGCAGAAGACTTCAAGAGTCGACCAATTCATTGGAAAAAAAGAGATCTAGTGTCCAAACCGGTTCCAGTTACAGATGATTTGAGGGAAAGACCTCTCAAGTTCGCACTTGTTACTAACTGGAAAAAATCTCTTGATAAACCACGGCAGTCCTGAACATGTAATATGCGGAATGTTAGTATCAGGGACTCCTAAGTTGTCCTGTAGCGCCAAGGAACTAGACTGAGATTAGACAGCAATGTTTCATTGGCTAGTGATCCCTGTCCAATGACATGTTTGGGTGCACGCCCTTGAACCTTTGTGAGGACGTTGAGGTCCTTCGCTGCAAATGGTCTCCAAACTTGGACAGCGGACTCCGGTTGCCGCCGTACGAAGCTTAAAAAACTTTGATGAATCAGCCAACAGCGAAGGCAGAAAAGTTCGTTGCACGAGGCATAAACTTGGCTACCTTTGCGCAATGCAAGAAGGGTTTAAGTGAGGGCGTGATCCAAACGTCCAAGTCCTTCTGGGCGTCCAGTTTTTGCGATGATAGGCCATTTATTCGGTAAAGCGTGCGGCTAGAAGAGTTTTCTTTGGCCGACTCGTATACCATCGCATCGGCTTTCATTGAAAGTCAAGTGACAGTTTTTTAACCATTTTTGGAGTCAATTATCATTTGCCTGCAAATTCTGTTTGTCAGCTGCAGTTTGAATGACGTGCAAAATTTTTAAAAACAAAGGCAAAATTAATTTGATTTTGTTTAGTACTAAATATGCAGGGATCAAATCACCCGTTTTACGCAAATGGTGTTAAGGCATGGAGCTTCTTACTATTTAGTGTTGCTGGAACATACAAAAGAGTCTGGAGCCCTCGCTTTAGCCAACTCGTTCCGAACTTTATGAATGTACAGAAATAGCCGCTGCTACCTGGCTTGCGTTTACCATACATGATTGCTATCCAGAAAAGCAACATCGCGCTTTACTTCGTTTATGCATATGTAGGGATTTTTCATCATCACACAACAGTCAAATCGAACATTTGGATTTATTTTTAAATATGCTCAGTCAACCTCCGTTCCATTGTAATCCGCCAGTGAGCTATAAATCCGCCTTCAACCTTTGCCGATAAAACCGTAATATCAGACAAATACAACAGCAGACTAGATGCTTGGGCATGCACCCATTATCCAACAAAACCGTTACAGAAAGAATTGCGTCTACAAAATTTTATTTCAAAGAACCCTGCGCGAATTCGAAGTCGTATATTGTAAAAGATTTTGAATAGAACATGGGAGGGCGTCAGAACATTCTTAAAATTTGACCACATTAGATTAGCCACGGGAAAAGGTAATACGCATAATAATTAGGGAGGCCTTACGCTAAACTCCAGGGAGGGCAAAGATTCCCTTCTTCTAGCCTTTACGCCAGCCTTAACTTTCGTATCAATTCCAGGCCTCATACTAACTAACTCAATCTCACAATAAACCCTGACATCTTTCCATAACTTAAATCTCTCCGCAATGTAACACACTATCACTCCCATTACCGAAGGGTCCCCATTTTCATATCCTATCGGAAATTGTAGGCGATAAGTTTAATATTTAATGGTTATTGTCAACAACTGAATGCCTTGTTTTAAACACCATCAAAGTGTGAGTAAAAGAAGATCTTTCTGTTCATCCTCTAACCAACTTTCACAATGCAGAAATCTATCTGCATGCGTTATTTCAACAAGAATAAGCTTCCTTAACCGATTGTACTTTAACTTATGTTTCCGCCATGCAGTATCGGTGTGTCTTCTCGTGTTTCATGTAGTGGCGCTCTGCACGTGCTGATTGTTTTGATTATATCTTTAACTTATTACATGGAATAATTATACTCTCTCCTTCGATAGCATTTTATTTATCGTTAATTCCATTCTACTTACTGCACAGTGTCACAACTAGGTCTCCCTTTGGGGTTTGCCCGCCTTCTGGCAGGAAACTACAAGCTATATATTATTTGATATATTGTATCTTTTTGCAACCTTGTTTGGGATACCCACAATCTAACCCGAATATATTCTAGATTTTAAATGAGCTCACTTTCCAGTTGGGCATATCGACGACAAAGTCGGTGGTTACACTGAAATATTTGCCCACCCTAATGTCAAGGACTTCGACAGCTTTTGTTCGGCCCGCAACGACCATATACATGGTTAAAGCCTGTTCTACCAACCTTTAAACAGTTCTTTAAAATTATATCACCACGTTGCTGATAAAACAGCTTTCTTAATTCCGGCTTAAGCGGGTTCTAGCCCTCTGTGCCCGTAGATAAATGGGCAACTGAGAGGTGATCTGTCTACCAACGAGTCCTCAGAAGTTTAGTTTTTGTTTCTTAAAGCTTTCTTTTTGTTACATATTTAGTAATGGTCACTTAAATTAAATGAGCGAAATTAATTCAGAGTGAAATGCATTTTTTGTGAGCTCTTATGTCAGAGTAGAATGTTACTTTGAAGACATTTTTACTTCAGCGAAAATTCCCATTTCTACGATTGAAAAGTCGTGATGGCAAACGATCGTTTTCGGTCATTCATCGTCAGGCCAGTACATGATATGGG